TATATATATGTAAATTCTAGCAGTTATATAATTTGTCTAGGCAGGGAATTAGTAATGTTGTTCACAAGCAGATGAGCAAGGCCTGTCGAAGATGCCTTCTCGATACAAAGAAACAGAAAAACCAAAACTGCAACTTCTCGCACTTTTCTCTTTTCTATCCCTCCCTCAGATTTTTTCAATACCTTAGTCTATGTGAAAACAGCTCTCGTACAAAAATGTTGACAGGGTTGCAGCAGGCACATAAAATGTGCCTTTTAGTGCATGTATGTGTGTAACAATACAATATTTTATAGCCGTAGGAAGTAACCATCCTCCGGAAAAATGGAACACGAACAAGAAAATGGATTCCTTTAATTTTAGCATTCAATCACTCTGTTGCTGTAGATGGATTAGAGTCTGGGGTTATTTAAATCAAGGCCATGTTCTAGCACCTCATTATTTCGGTCATAATCATTTGGAAGAGGAATGAGTGTGTAGAGGATATCAGCAGTGAAGCATACAGATGTTCAGATGTTAACCCAGGTGGTTCGCTCATTACCCAGACGGTTTTAAAAACACAGCCTGAGCCATAGAAAGGACAGGCTTAAAGTTTAAATTGACTAGAGCTGAGTTAAATGGAAAAACTGGAACAACACAGTGATAGTGGTGATGATTTAAAGTGTTTAGCCATTTTATTAAATGAGATTTGAAACTTTGAGTTAATGGAAAGAGGCTAGAGATCAGAATTAGCTAATTTTCTGTTTATAGGTTATAAATCATTAACAAGTAATTTTTAAAAGTCCCAAAACTAGGAACCCACACAACTTTCAACTGTGAATTCATTAGCCCTTTTCAAGCTGTGACAGCAGTAAGAAATAAAATCTAAATTGGTCAGACTTCAAAGTTAGGAAGAAATCGACATGGGCAAGGAGATGCCTAATTAGTGCTTCCTAAAGTCGTAATTAAAAAAGGATTTTTAACTACTTTTTTTCCAATCTGTAGGACCAATATTTAGTATATTTTGAATGTTTAAAGATCAATATATTTAAAGTTGCCTTTTAAAAAAATATATAATTTGTTAAAATTGAGTATTAAATTATGATTATTATGACACATTTTAAGAAATACTAAAATGATTTTTATAAAATGTTCAAAATCAATACCCAGAGTTAATTATACAAAAATGCTATATGTTTAAATGTTAAATAAACACCATACATATTAGAGTATACATTAGTTTAACTATAAAATTATAAAAGTAGTACAGCTTTTGTGCATTTAAAAAAAAAATGTATTATTTTTTTATTTGTAGCTGTGAACCCCCGCAGCAAGAAAGTTCTGGTTTCAATTCATGGTCTTGGATCCATCTGTATGGAGTTAGGATTAGTGTAATATAATAAAACTGCAAAACTTAAGGTCAGATAGTTCCACATATGTTGGTTTCTGTTTTGAAACCTCATTACAAAGAAGCATAATTCAAATTTTAGGGAAATTGCTAGCATTAAAAATAGCAGATCGTTTTGAAATTAAAAGAGGGATACACAAAGAAGAGGTGAAGAGCACAGTTTTGCTAAAGACAAGACTAAAATCTATTAAAAATGAGTGCTAAATTTTCTGTGACTAACTAATTCTCCCCGACACAGTGTAGGTATGTTTCTCACTTAGAAACCAAGGGCCTGTATACAAACAATCTTCAGCATTTTGTGTGGGATATTTAAATCACTTAAGGAGCAGATTTATCCATTAGCAGGGAATTTCCAAGATTAGGGTTCATTGGGGAACAGAGAGCATGAGCACAAAGTGTTGGTGTTAATGGATTATAATATAATATGTTATAATATATAAAATACAATATAATGGTGTTTAAGACACTGCCCATCTTTAATCGTATGTTTAATTCTATCCTAAATGTTAGGATTTGTTTTGTGGCATACCTCTGAGTTTATGCAAACCACATTATAAAATGCTATTCAATATCTGTGAAAAAGGCTCATAACAACCATATGGCATTGAGATCTTTAGCACCATTACAAGATTAAGAAACTTCAAATATGAATTCATCTAAGTATTCTGGACAGATTAATCAGGGTGTCCCAGTTAACAAAGATCACATCATAAGTGGCCAGGATTTTGTATAACAGGAATGTGCTTTTACAGTATGCAGAAGTCAAATTCTCATGAGAGAAAAAATTAGCTATAAAAGGGGTCATAATGAACTCCATTTTTTTCTTAAAATGATTAAACGTGGAATTAAATACGATTTCAGAAGGATTGTATAAATATGACTCCTTTCAGAGTCATTTTGGTAAGCTGGCCACTACTGGAAAGGTTCACCACTGTGTCATCCGACTATGGATACTTGCTATGGCCATGCTTTGCTTTAATCACAACACAAAACTTTAGAGGTAGATCTGCAACTTTTTAAACACTTAAGCTACATTCACACTGCAGGCCTTAATGCTTAATTTCTGATTTTTGTTGTGTTGCCGTTCACATTTCCAAATATATGTAGCTTGTGTGTGATCTCCTGTGTGAACTGCATTAATGCTGCTTAAGTGTCTTGCATGTGCAGTAGAGGACGAAATGACATCACAAGCAAATGTGCTTTGTGTTTACAGAAGTAAACATGGATGGTAGTGCCGGAGTGTACCTTTCCCAACCTTAAAAACTCAACCTTTTCAAGATGGTTAAAAACAAAAGACTGCTCTCTGCATTATCGTCCACCATGGTTGTTGTTTGACGTTCAGGTCGGATGAGTGCAACCTAGATGTTCAGACACAGGTTGCATTTGAGAAGATCAGATACGTATCCGATTCAGGACCACGTAGCCAAGTGGCCTGAGTTGCACTGGAAAAAATTGGATCTGTCTTGTTCAGACTGTCATGAAAAGATCAGATACGGGTTGCATACGGGCAAAAAATAAATAAATAAATGAATCAAATTTCAGCCAAGTCAGGCTACTGTGTGAACTTAGCCTTATACAGTACTTTTAATAGTACTTTTATTAGTCTTTGACTTTGTTTCTTATAGGTTCTTTAATTTCTTAAAAAGGCATTTTCTAATGATACTGCCACCTGTTGCTATAACACAGAACTGCAGCACTCTTCTGTTCATTCCGTAAAAATTCAAAAAATATCCACTGGACTTGGTTTTCAAGATTTGAAGACGTTTCGCTACCTCTCCAGGAAGCTTTCTCAATTCAAATGTCTGGATCCGCAGTGAGTTTGAGTCTTATATGGACAAGGCCTTGTATTGCTTGGAAACATGCAATGGTAACCGATGAATGGGTAGTTTAGTTCCATCATTAGCCTGTAATATCTGAACCTGTCTATGATTCTAGGGGTCAGTCGTTAAAGGGGGAGGATTGTCTTCTGTAATACCTGAAACCTGTCTATGATTGTTAAGGGTTGGTAGTTAAGGAGGTATTGTTCACCGGCTGGAGCAGGTAGGTCCCTCGTTCCTCTGTGATGGCGTGGGGGGTTTGGTGATATCTGGAAGGGATCATGTCTATGATTGAATTGTATGTTTTTGGAAGCTGGAATCTGAGTCCACCACCTCAGTTTAAAGTTGTTTTTTCTCTCTTAACATAGATGGCTTCCTTCACACCCCTCTCAAATCTTCTGTTCATTCTCACAGCTCCTGCTTGTACTTGACAAGGTTTTTTTTGTTTTGTTTTTTTCCACTTTACATGGAGTTGCCATTGGTGTCTGAGCTGGATTCCAGTCGCTTCTGATTATCCACAAAATCCTCTTAAATATATAATGCTTCGATTGTTTGCTAGGTGAGACCCATTTAACACAGATGCGCTTTACGTCACATCTGCAGAACAGCATGGAAACTTCCGAGCTGAAGTGAATTAAGGACAACTGGCTTACAGGCTTAGAGATGCATCACTGTTGAACTGAGGTGTGCATCTCCTCATCAAATGCTGTTTTAGTCATAAAGGGTAAAATAAAAAGGCTACTTTAAAGAGTAAATACAGCAAAACATTAGAAAATGTCTCTTTAAAATTGGAGCTCAGTGCTTTTTGAGATCTATTAGCCTACTTTATGTACTTGTGATTTATCATGTGAGGACTGCTTTTTTACTCTGGCCCTGTGTCGAGGGCCCTTTACCTTAAAGATGAAATAATTTGGAAACAGTTTTTTTTTTTCCAATCTATTTAAAGATTATTTTCAACTGCAATAAAAACTTTATTTTATTTATATAATTTGAAATATTAAAGAGGGGCAAAAACTTTTTAAAAGTACTGCATACTTTCTATGCTCTTGAGTTTTTATGGATTTACAGCGCAAACCTTCTTAAGTAATATACGGTCTTGTTGCAAAAACTAAAACAAAACGTTTGATGTACAATATTTGTAAACATTTATTATATCTGTTAAAACATCCAACTTAAAATCATACCCACAAACGTTAAAGGAATGCATATAGTCAGGTTTTCCCCCCCACCATTTCCCTTCCCTCACCTTGTTCACTGATTGAGTTGAACAAGGTGAGGGAAGAGATGTGGAAAAAATGAACAAGGATTGGTCAATACTTCCAGTATGACTCTGTGGGTGGAAACACATGCCCACATGTTAAGTTTAAAATCCGAGATCTGACAAACCTCTCCACTAAGTGGAAAGCAAACAGCCCAGATGTTGCGGATGAGTTTGCTGCTGATGATAATGGAGCTTAGGAGATAATTACAAAGCATGCATGCGCATCACTTTACACACGAATAACCAAATGCGCAGAAGCTAGATACATGCAACCAGACATGTGCAGTGGTTTATAAATGAGTTAAGAAAACCAAACTAATTCAAACTGCCCATGCATAGATTAGGAGAATATGTTATAGTAATCTGAATTTTTGTTTTTATGGATTCATTATTTTGCAATCAAAAAAAGAGAGCAGCTGAAATGTATCAACCAAAAAGCTACCCTTAATCTGCTTCACAGCAAAGCTTATTCTATTTAATGGAATCCAGGTAAAAACAAATAAATAAATAAACAAATATAACTGTAAATCAAGCCTACCTTTAAAAAGAAGAGCTGTCCAAATGTAAAAACTGACCGAACATGGACCCCAAAACTTGGGACACCGCATTCTAGCGCTGCTGCGAACTTCGCTGCCCGGCGGTGGATCTTCAGCGTCAGAAGCCGCTCAGACTCACTGATGGAATGAACCGGAGAGAGGAGAGGCAATAGGAGGGGGAGGGGGGAGAATATGAGCAGCGGGGAAAAGGACTGACAGGCGGAGTTCAGAATGGTGCGGTCACGCAGCACCAGGTACAGATTTACTCCTAAACAGGCTGCTCTGACAGCCTGTCCATTTAGCAGGAGACATTTTTAGAAAAAACTCAAAACTGCGAAGGGAAAACGCACTGCTGCATCTTAATTATTAAATCAATCAAGTCAGTTTATTAATTCCTATATTTGAACTTATAAAGATAAGCATAAACTCATATTTTGCAGAAAGACAAAGATATGTCCTAAGGGGTTCGTTTTTTATAATTTTTAAATGTAATTAACGTTTAAAACAATTAGAATTAACCTATATATTTTTAAAACAGATTAAATACATTTCTTAAACAAGCATAACGTAACTGTGCTCCTTATATAAACATATAAAAAGCTCTGAAGGCCAACAGTCAAAACTTGAATAAGCCACAAAAGGAGGCTACCTTTTGTGGCTTATTCAAGTTTTGACTGTTGGCCTTCAGAGCTTTTTATATGTTTATATGAGGAGCACCGCTAAAACTTTTAAAAATGTGCTTTCCTATATAAATTTAGAAAAGTGGTTCACAAAAAGTGATAAAGTACTGCAAAGCAAATCCTATTCGTTATTTCAAAAGAGAGCCATTATGCTCAGGCTTTAACTAGAAATAGAGATTAAGAGTCAAACAAAGGCATTGCAATTGTCTTTCCTCTGTTTTAAACCCCTTATGTAAACAACATCTTAACTGAGCTAAGGTTAAAAAAAAATGCAAGACTATTGCTCAGTGGTCTATATTTCCCATTTAGACTAAAGTAAATTTTATTTATTTTGAAAATCAATGTCCCAGGTTTGAATGAGTGTGGACAGGTTGAAAATCCAAGTGTTTGATATCCAGTCTAAAGTTTCTCAGTGATATTTTAGGGAGCCGAGAAATCTTCTGTTTTTTGTCCCACTGTAGTTATCCAGCCCTAAGGCATCAGAGGTGTCTGCCATAAAACTTTAGAGCACCTAATGCTACTCTCTGCTGACAACCTTTATGGAGATTCTGATTTAATTTTCCAATATTACTTTGCACCTGCCCACACTGAAAAAAAGTATCACTTCCTGCTTTAGTGAAAATCGTATCACTATACTTGGCAAGCCAGCAAACCCATCTGACCTTGAGCCCACAGAGAAACAGTGAAGTATTTTCCAGAGAAAGGAGAGAGACACCAAATCCAAAAATGCAAATGAGCAGAACGTCACTGTTAAAGCAAAACAACCCTCAGTAGAGCCACTGGCTTTCTGTATTTCACACATAAAAAATAAGAAGCTGGTAACTTTCATAAGCCAGGACAGAGCCCTTTAAAATTTAGAATCTTGATTAAATAAAAAGCTAAAAGTAAAATCTCTTATTTGAATTATTTTAGTTCATATTCAAGCTAAAGCCAGGCAGTTGAGTTAGAATGTTGTTCAGTAGCTTTGGTGTGTTTTTTTTTTTTTCTTACTGCTAAACTCAGGTTTAAAAACAGTCATTAAATATGGAGTTTGTTCTTCATTAAATTTGGGGCTGCATTATCAAAGAACTAGGAAATTCTTAACTTAATATTGTTTCTTAGACATATGATACTAGAGAAAAGCAATAATAATTTCAGGAAAATTACTTTTATATAATTGTCTATACCAGAATTTCAGTGTTCCTACTGTTTGATATTTTTTTATTTAATGTGATAGTAAACCATTATTTACACTTATTTTAGCCCTTTATTTTTGATTCATCAAAGAAAATCTTTATTGAGGGATATTTTAATAAGGAACAATTTATGCAAGAGTAAATAGTGTGTCGACTAATCCTACTCGAGCCCTAATTGGAAACAAGGATACAAATTAAGTACATTAATATAACAACTGAAAAAAAAAAAAATAAATCCAAGCATTATCCTTAAAAAATAATTATTTGTATAATTCAATGTTTTAAATATGATGTACCATGCTAGGTAAAGCTACTAAGTATCATTGACACCCAACAGCTTGCACCCAAAAGTATCACTTTTCTGTAATGAAGTTCTTCTCAGAGTTTCATTTTTTTTTGCACCACTGGTGATTTAAACTCTGAAAGGCAAAGATCGTTTGCAAACTCCTTTTGGTTTTAGACTATTATTACACCGGGGCATGCCAGGTTTACCATTTTAATAAAATTTTACTGATTTAAATATTTCAAAGGGGCCAATTTGGATCTGTCTTTTTATTACTCTCTAAATCAGAAACAACTGTCAGCCGGCACGAAAAGTTATTGATAGCTACTTTATTCATAAGGATAGAATACTCTATTGATTAGACTGTAAATATAATAACAGTAAAATTCCTTGTTAAAAGTAATCACAATATATTAAAATGAGACATATTAGATTTATGGTTTTGACATTTTCCTTTTTTGGCTTCAGCTGAAGAGAGCATCTTGAGAATAAATGTCTCTTTGTGCCCTCATAAGGACAATACTGCTACAGTGAAAAAAGACCTCACTGGAAACAGGTATACAATCTCATATTCAGAGGACATTTAGATGTGCTGCAGGATAAAGCATTCACCTAGAGTACCAAGAATACCTGGAATACTGGACAAAATCTTTTCAAGGTCAGGAAGACAATAGTTACAGAAAAGCTTGAGCAAGCATTGAAACCAGACACTGGTCACTCTCTCCCAAACGGAGACTAGTCTGTTTGTCTTCACTTTCAGGTTAATGAAGGAATAGGGAAAATATCAATTTCACAGAAATGAAGTATAAATATATAATGTAACAGCCAAGCACGTTTACTGTAGTTGCTGCTCCTTATCATGGATGACAGAGATAGCTCAGGTTATCCTGTGCTATCTCTCTATTTATGCTGCTATAGACTGCTGGAGCACATAAGGACCCCTTCTCATCATTCTGCTTCATTCTATCTCTGCGCTCCCATTCTTTCTCCATTCTTGTGTTAGTTCAACCCCTAACTTTATGTTCTTTCTTCTTTTCCTGTCATGGTAGCTGCATTTGGTCTGTTCTTTTTTGCTGTGACACCATCGTGGAAATAAATATTAGCTGGGCTGCTGCCATCAATGCCTTTGTTTATAGAAGTTTAATGTCGGCTTGTTTTCAGTGTATTGTTATTTATTTTACTACAACAAACTGCATGTGAGGGATTTGCTGTTGAGTCAATCATCTGGTTTTCCCTAGATTGAAAACTTTAAACCAATCTAACTGTAGGATCTGGTTGAATCGTCTCTGTAAAGTCCCTGAGATTACATGTTGTGAATTATTGCTAGAAAAATAAACAGAATTTAATTCAATTAAATTAAGATATAGGGTGTCCCATAGTAATACATTGCTTTTACAGATAGTTATGTTTCAGTTGTGATCCGCACACAGATATGTGATTGGTTAGGTAAAACCAAATGACCTATCCAAATCACATGTTTTTTTGCTTTTTTTATATCAATAATTCAGGTCTAGACAGAAATGTATTTTTTGGATTCTCGAGGCAGAAAAACTGCTTAATTTGCAGAGCATATCTAGTTGGCAACTTTATCTAAAGCACGTCTTCTCAACATCTACAACATACACTTGTATTTGGTTTTCATACTCTATACTGGTAGGACTCCTGTCTGTGTGGTTTGTGTTTTGTGTGTTTTTCTTCCTTCCTCCACCAGGCGGCACCTGGTCCTGGTTCGCCTCCTCACACACCTGCAAAGGGTTACCTCATTAACAGAATGCTCTTAAGCTGCTGACTGCCACTACCTCGACACCAGAGTGTTTGCCAGTTTTGGGTACTCTAGCCAAGCTGAGTTTTGCTGAGTCAAACTGAGTTTTTGGGAACCTTAGTCTTAACCTTGTTATTTTGTCTTTGCCTCTCGACAGGAAGTCATCCTTCGAACTGGATATTTCAGACCTTCTCTCCCTGAAAGGATCATCTGATCTTCAAACCGAGCTGGGGATTCAAACTGGAGGTTTGGATCTTCTTTCCTCCAAGGGATCATTTGAGCAAGGGATTCATCTCCACATCAACCCCTTCAAGTACCGCAGGAAATCTAAGTAGCAGTCAGTTTCTCCGTTCACCTACAAACAAGCGCATTCTGGGTAAACCCTGTCCGCCCTCCATCGAATGAGACAAACACTGGAACACCCCCACACCGACTGGAGTCAAAGAGTCAACCACTTTTCTGGAAACGTGAGTCAGCAATCTATTTCTCATCTTCAAGTTCGAGAATCAAATTTCCCACTGAGCCTGAACTAACCTCAGTGTCTTCCCCTCACTTTCCAGTTCCGGTTGAGCAGTGTTCAGAGTAACACTGGATTCTTCACAATCTCCTCAATAAACCTGATAACTTTTTCCCTGGTCTCTCTGTATTGGTTTCTCTGCATTTGGGTCCGAGCTCTTGATAAAATCATGACACATACAGTTTTCTCTGGTGTTAGTGTATTTCCTTTGAATGGTCCCAGTGCTGTATAATTGCCAGACATAATGTAATTTTTGGGTCCCTTTTGTTGATTTTGTATTCAGAAAAAAAGATGATAAGGAACCCAGAAATAAAAAACCCCAAGATCATTTTCCCAGTGATGTTTCTAAGAGAGTTAGGTGAAGAGGTCAGAGTTGAAATATGGTTTATGCTGTAAACTTTTGGCCTGTGGCACTTAGCAGCCCTAAACAAGCAGGGAACAGATTGTGCAGCTTTGTATGGTCTCTTTCTTCACTAATTGGCTTAATCTTGCTTGGTAATTCATAAAAGAATGCAACTGTGCAAACAAAACCAAATTACTGCATGTGTTCAAAACAGTCTAAAACATCCAATGTCAAAGTACCAAAGAGCACTTTCAAATACACCTAATGTACAACAGAATATTGTAAAGAAATCACATGTAATGAGCTAATTATGGTGATGTAACAAATAAATTACTTCACTGCAGAAAACTACCATTAT